GGGTTGCCAACCCTCCTGGATTGTCCTGGAGTCTCCAGGAATTAAAGATTGTCATGTGATGAAACCTCCAGGAATACAGCCAACCAATATTGGCAACCCTACTTCTGAACTTTACTGCCCCTTTTTCTCATTGCCAGTCAGTCCTCTGAGTATCTGAGCCTCCTCCTTGGTTGTCAGAGTTCTAGTCTTGTATTGCCTGCTCTTACCCCGTTTCCATTTCCTCTTGTAAATGCCATTCTGAGGCCCCGACTTCACCTCCTCTAGTTTCTGTGTCCCAGCCTCGTTACTGTGCTGATTTCCTAGTTCACCCCAATATGCAATGTCAATGGCTACCTAGAGGGTTGGGTGTAGAGATGGGCCTGAGATGTACAAAGTCAGTTCTGCATTTCAAACCCCCAAACGTTTTTTCTGGTTCACACCTGGGGTTTTGTAGAGGAAAGCGGCAGAGTGTGAAATTCAAATCTCTTCAGGCCGATCTTGGTTTAAAATTAAATAGCAGGAGACCTCAGTCTACTCAGCTGCACTCCGGATACAGTCACCTGTATGGCACAGGAGCAATTTCAGTACATGGATTTCTTTACTGAGGACTCTGCATTATCACATCTATGTCAAGCCCTGAAACAATGAGTGGAAGCTGCCCTGCCCAGCGAAAGGTCCATCTGATTCCAAGCCACAGGCCTGTAAAGATATGGCAAGATGGCGTCAGAGCTTAGTTTAAAACTTCTGTTTCTTTAATGCATCACATTTTTTTCTCAAGCACGTAGGTGTCTACTTTAAGGCTTTATGGGAAACATGGACGCTTTAAGTCCCAAACAACCAAACCCTACATCAGTTGCTTTTCTGAGAATGACCTCTCAGAATGCCACCCGTATTAGTGCTTCTGATATTGCAGCTTCACTCTGACAAGGACCCCCTGTCAGGACGGCTCTTGATGAAGGTCCTCAAAATGCTCCTTGCTCCAAATGCACTTTGGAAAGGGATGTTTTTTGGGGTGGGTGGAGTTTTGTATCCATCTCTGTCCCACAGCAACCACTCAGTGCTCAGAGACCTTCCTAAGCTTTTAAGGACACACTATTTCCCACAAAGTATATTTGTGAATTCCTGCTTGTTCAGTGTATTTCCTCTAAGGGTCTGGTCCAAAATCCACTGATGTCTATGGGAAGGTTTTCAATGACTTTGGGTGGGCATTGGATGGACCCACCCATCCATCCTCTGTGGCATCACAGAGCTGATTGTGATTCATTACCATGGGGTTCCTGGACTGCTCTCTATTTTTAATCCCTCTTTGGGAAAAGGGAAATCTAGCACACAAAATACATAGCTAAACCCAGGTCTGCTTACACTGGAAAAACGAATCAGTAACTGAGAGGCAGTTGCAGCGGCGAGACAGGAAGTTTTAAGAATCCTATTGCAACCAACAATATACTGTGGAAAAACAAATATTCCCCAGCGGAAAGAGGCATGAGAAATCCCTACTGCATTGGGCGGGTTGAAACAAGCTATTAGAAGTTGGCCCCGGTAATCAGGAAATCTGCTCTACCATTTTCCTGCTGCCAGGCTCCAGATGTCGTACAGTACCTTTGTATTGAGCTGGGAGAATATTCACTAGAGTGGTGAAAAATCTTTATCAGCAAAACAAGACACAAAAGGAAACTCACCTGGTTTGGGACTTCATTGCAAATTGCAAAGCTCGGCCCTGGTTGGCCAAATTTTCTGCCAACCTGGAAGAGGTGGAAACTATAAGCCCTGTGGTGACTTTTTTTTTTTTTAAACTAAATCTGAGCCCACAACAATACCCCCCAGAGCCAACAGCTTACCTGCTCTGGGGTATTCAAGATCCAGCTCTGGGTCAAAATCTTCTGTCTAGACTCTCTTCTCCAGTAATGTGTGAATTGAAATCTGGATCTGAACAGTTCTCTATTGTGTGGCATGCAAAGTTCATAGCTGGACCCAAATTTTGTAGTGTGGGCATGCTTCTAGTTTTCAGCTGAAACCAAGGCAAAGCTTAGTGGTTTCAGCCCCATCTACGTATGCATGGAGTTTCTGGGTTCAGCTGAACCTCAAATTTAAGGCAAAATATGTGTGTACTCATGTGTAATGGCATCCTTGGGGCTATGCAATCTGTGCAATGGAGCTACTGCAGGTTTCTCTTGCTTTAACTCAGATCACTCTTTAACCCCCCCTTTTCTCTATACTCTCAATCAATCCATCATGGACACATGACTGAATCTAAACATAGCCTCTGACTGGTTGATATATACTTATGAGACTTGCAAATCTCTCTCTAAGCGTGAATGGGCCTCCATGCTCCCAAATACCCAGTAGCTATATTTGGAAATATATAGCAAAGCCTAACAGGGCTGGCATTCATGCTATGTGGCAAATTCAGTATTTGTTTCCATCATGCAAATGTATTATTTGAGCCTAATACACCATTGAGAAAAAAAGAACTTTTAGTCCTCAGTAACTCGTACATGTACACTACCTCTTTAATACTTGGCAAATATCTCCTCAACCACGGTATTTGTAACTTCAGGTCATTTATTCCCTGGTGCCCATAACAGAACCCATTACCGCTGCTCTGGAAGAAAATTGGCAACTCTACCCATACGTGATCAGAACCCAGAATATCTCTGCACCTTTTCCTGCCTCCTTTCATAGGAGTAAGCTCTGTTTCCTTCGAAAACACCAGTATTTCCCAACGTAACAATAAAATCCAGTTTGGTTTAGATAAAAAAAATCACTGTATATGTATTTAAAGGTTACAATAAGGAAAAAAAGTTTTGTAAAACATTAATGGCTTCTGCAAAAAGCACCAACTAGGCAGCCCTATAGTTTAATTACAGAATATTTGTGTTTACCTGGTTCACAACTTTGCAGAAATCACTTAGACCTCTAACAGCCAAAGTGGTATCCCTCAGACCACAAACGCAGTTGTGTGACATTTCCCTGACAGGAGCAATGGTGTTTACCTAGAAACCCAACTAGTTATTGGCCACATGCCTTTTGATCTTGGGTGACACAGTTACAAGGCGGTGGGTGATCTGTTTTTGTCACATAGGACAAAGTAGCTTTGGATTAGCAAACATCTGTCCACTTGAAGTTTGGGAAATATGTAATATTTATAATTTCCTCCTTTGTGATAGCATGATACACAGTGACTGAGGCTTTGCATGCATTCTCCTTAATAAGCTGTTTCATAAATAATATAGCTAGTTTTGTCCATTTCAAGTTCGACTTTGATTTAGCAGTGGGTAAATGGCATTATTGTTTTGAGCTGTATCTACTTCCAGCAATCAAAAAGCTTTTGCATATTTTCCAAAAATCTTTTCTTTTGCTCCTCTCAGACGGGATAAGACGATTGGGTCCAATTTTGTATTGAAGTCAATGGAGTTGCACTGGCATAAAAACAATGTGACTGAGTGCAGACTCCGATTTCTGAGATCAGGTGGTAGGGCTAAAGACACCAAGCAACACTTCCTTTAGGTAGAACTCCGGGAATGTAAATGAACAGTTAAATAAGACAGTCATAATTCTAATGTAATAAAAATGCTGATAATAGAAATCTTATGTACATCTACTTCGCTAAGAAGGGACTTAACTGGTCACAAAAATGTGACTGGCACAGCCATGAAGCTGTGAGGGGAATTATTTATCATGGTACAAGAACATACAACTTTGAGTAACAGGATGAAACTGAACAAAGGTGAATTTACATTGGATGTCAAAGAAAACATCTTCAGGGTGAGACCTACTAAACTGTTCACTAGCCATAGCCACCATCTTTTTGTATTTGCATAGTGTCTTTCATTCAGGGATTTCCATGGGCTTTTTGAATTTGAATTAATTAAGCATCACACCCCGTGGAGTAGGTTAAGATTATTATATGCAATTTTAAAAATGGGTAAACTGAGCTAAAGGAAGGTTAAGTGACTTGTCCAAATTCACACAGCAAATTGTGCCAGAGCCAGGATTAATGTGAAGTCCTGACCCCAATCACTTGCTCTGTGTATTAGTCCACCGTGCTTGCCGTGGTCATTCTGCATTGAACCTCATTGTGCCAAAAAGCATTCACTGGAATTGAACACTAGTGTGTATCTCCTGTGCAACAAGGATCAGTAGATCACACAAACATACTACTTTAAACAAGTATGATAACCCCATCTAAGAGAAAGACGAGTCGCTCTCCTAACCTCTCTACACACCCACTTTTTAGATGGGGAACATTTCCGTAGCAACACAGAAGTTTTGTTTTTTTTCAGATGGCAATCGTTAAATCCACACTAAACATAAACACAAGGGGCCTGATCCAAAGCCCACTGAAGTTGAGTGGAAAGACGCCCATTGCCTTCGGGAGGCTTTGGACCAGGCTGAAGAATCTTTTTATTAATTAAATCTTGGGTATCTTTTGGGGATCTCCTTTTTCTTTGGCATTTGTACCCTTCTCAGGATTCTCGGACCACTTCCCTCCCTGGCACTGCATCTTGAATGGTCCTTTGAAATATGTGTTAACTACTTATGCTAAACAATCTGTTTCATCTTGTATTTAGCTGTGATACTCTGAGTAAGTTTCCCAGGCCTGAAGAAGAGCTCTGTGTAAGCTCAAAAGCTTCTCTCTCTCATCAACAGAAGTTGGTCCCATAAAAGATATTACCTCACCCAGCCTGCATCAGACAAACCATCTAGGAGTGGGAAGTAGAGCATATCACCCATGATAACTTGCCTCTAAAAGGAAGTTTCTGTCACGTGCAACAGCTGCTTGTATTCTCAGGAGGGAATATTTTGTCACTCAGACAGACTTCTGCCTTTTTGAGTCCCTACATGGAGCAGGTGTGGGGGAGTAACTGCCCCTCAAACTTTCCAGCTAGCTGGTTTATGTCACTGCAAAATTACCAAGTGCAATGCAAGAAAATTTAACCCTGAATTCTCATTTATTTGTATGTAAAGCTGATCCCTTTCAAATGTGCCATTCAATTTCTAAACTATATTTTATTTTGCAGATTCTGGGGAAAATAGACACTCTGTAAGTATACATTTTATTTGAGGAATAAGAGATTGGGAAATTAGATTGGGATAACCGTTTGATCAGCGAAATAACATTGAAGGGTATTATATTTTTGTATTGTTTGCAATACTTTGGAAATGTACTACTTAGCACTTTCATTTATATCCTTATTGGCCAGGTTTTCTCTGATATATTTATATAGCAGTGAGCACTAAAAGTCATATGAAATAACTGGTATTTGAGAAAGCCACTATAAAGCACAGTTGGTCCATGATGACTCTTCGAAAGGGGAGTTTACACATGAAAAAACACAACTGTGCAGATTTGGCTTGGTTGCAGGGGTGTGCGCTCTGACACAGCAGAGCCAAGCTTGGGAATGTCCTCAGACTTCCACTGGGCTGATGTATTCAAGAGCATGATGGTGCTGAACCACTTGAGGATGGATGTGAGGCCTGCTGGGCTGGCCAGTCTGTGGAGTAATAGCATCAGTGTCAAGTGGGAAAAGAGGCGAATGAAAAAAGGGTGTTTAGAACCTTAGCTGGAAAAACAACAGTGGGGCTAGCACCAATTGTGTCTCCTTCCCAAGGAGTGTGCCTGCACATGAACGCTGGGAGATTTTTACCATTTGCAGGTGTGATTTCCTTCTTAAGGAGTAGAGCGAGGGGATTTCCTGACTGTGACTATTGGCTCGAGCCGAAGCTTGCGTTCAACTCTGCCTGTGCTCCTGACCTGTGCTATGTAGCACCTTCAACCAGGATATTAGAAGACGGGCCGACTGGCAGGATTGTTGATGGAGACTGTGACATTCTAAACAAATATTAATGGAAAGCAAATGCTGACGTTATTACGATCATCCAATCAGGGAACCGGAGCAACACCATGTGGTGTAAGAGCCCAGCCAAACTAACCACTGCAGCTCAAATTTAATGGACAATCTACCAGTCAAGGAATGATACGATGAATAGCTTTGAACACCAAACTAATCAGAGGAAAAGCCAATTTGTGGAGAGAATGAGTGGCTAAATGCCTCAAATGAATGATCACTTGGCTCTGCTGAAATGCAAAAGACGAAGTACAAGCACTCCAGAAATAATGATATTAACGTTATTGAACAAATACTTTCCGACTATGCCCCCAGGGTGCTGTTCGGTAATATCATGGTTATTAATTATTATTACTAGTGCTGTTGTGTTAGCACCCAAAATGGGCCGGGCACTGGGTAAACACACAGAAAGAGACAGTCCCCGCCCTGATATATTTATAATCTGATTTTAAAAGAATAATTGAGAAGCACACAATGAAAACCATACTATGATCAAACCTGCCCTCATAAGACTAGAGAGAGTAAGAGAAAGAGAGGAGGAGCCTATCCAGAGGCTAAACTCTGAGGTCTTTTGCTCAGTCCTTACTCAGGCAAAATCCTGATTATAGTCCTCTAGGATTTGATTTGAAGAACAGGGAGTTTTCAAAGGTAACTCTTGAAAAAGAAAAGGAGGGAGGAACTGCCACATATTGAGGGACACTGCGGAGGCCCAGTTGCCTCCTGGTCTTAGACAAGATGGTTGAATCCCTAAAAGGCAGCTGGTAGAGCTCAGATACCTGTTGGGACAAGGTTGGAGGCAGTCTCAAGGGTAGGCAGGGTCAGCCCCAGGCTCAGAGGAAGTGTGCCTGTAGGTATAAGATCCCTCCCACAAAGCAGGACGGGAGTGTATTTTTCCTGCCACTTATTTTATATGACTCAGGAGCATTTGCTTAAAAAAACCAACTGTAGCAAATAGGAGACTTGTAAATAACAATCACAGTAGCACTCTCTCTCTCAGCTAACAATACACGTTCAGGCCTGGTCTACATTACAGAGTTAGGTCGTCATAAGCTGCCTTACGTCCACCTAACTCTGTAAGCGTCTACACTAAAATGTAGCTCCCATCGATGTAACTCACCTGCTACACCGACTTCATAACTCCACCTCCAGGAGAGGCGTAGCGCTTAGGTCAATGTAGTTAGGTTGACGCAGTGTTAGTGTAGACATTGCGTTGCTTACATTGACTGTTTGTTGCCTTTCAGAAGTTGTCCCACAATGCCCCACACTGACAGTTAACCCTGTGCAAGTGCTCCTGGTGAGGACATGCACTGCCGACATAAGGAGTGTAGGCCGGAAATGGAAAAGTGATTTAATTACTGCGGTGGCTGTATGTTGACATGACTTAGGTTGACTTAATTTTGTAGTGTAGACTTGCTCTCCGGCTCTGAAAGGCAGGGGCCTCCACCTTCCATCAGCACTCAAGTCCACATGGGATACAAAAGAAAACCTCTGTATTGTTTACAGTCCATTGGCAGAGCATTGAAGGTCATGGAGTGTGTTACAATAAACAGGCGGATTTTAATAGGCAAATAGGGTTTATTTTTCATTGTCATCTTAAGGTTTGGGGTTTTACTTTGCTCTCTATCTTCTAAAAATAAATCAAGCCTCGTTCTCCACCCAATTGCAAGGATGCAACCTCATGGTGTCACAGAGGAGAACAGCTGGCGTGGACCTGAATGGGAGGCATTGTCCTTTCTCAGTGCTCTGGATTGCCTGTTGGAGCCAAGGCTGCATATCTTCTGCACCCTTGGACTTCAGTAAGAGGTTCTGAGCATGCAGCATTGAGGCCTTTGTTTGCACCCTTATCCATAACTGCTACATCAAGCAGAATTCCACATACACTCTAGCTGCTAACGTGAACTGAGCCCTTGCTGTATAGAACTTACACAGGTATTTCCCAATGCTTGTAAGGTACAGAGTAAGTGAGCCAGGGGACAGTCAGTCCTCCTGGGTTCTGTGGCCAGCTCTGTCATTGACTTGTCTGGCCTTGACCCAATCATTCATCACTGTTTTACAGTTGGGCAAAAGGAATTTAATATCTCCCTCACGAGAGTGCTGAGTGGCTTCATTAATTCATGTTTGCAAAGCACTCCGAGATCTTTGTATGAAAGGTGCCATCGATGTGCCATCATTATGATAATTTTGATGATTTTTTCAATTACCAAAATTGAGTCTAGAAGCCATTACCTGGAGCCATATAGAGGCTGCTTTGGTTCTTGAATGGGCTGCAGTGAAAACACCTCAGCACCCTATGTAAATAATTTTGGCTTTAATTAATTGGACCCTGACATTTTAACATCTCCTGGCAAACTAGATGAGAGGAGTTGGATTTAGGGCTGCATTTTCCTTGCTTGCATAAATTCCTGTTTGCAGCTGGAGAGTAGTAATGAGATCTCCTGTAAAATTCAACAGACTGTCCCAAACATTTTTAGTTTCTCATCAATACACAAAAGAAAAACCTGCTTTGGAATAAGCTGTGCATGTTACCTGACTTTTCCCCAGCGATATGCCCTTGGGGTTCACATGGACAGCACACAGATGTGCAGGATCAGGATGTGCATGTACCACTAAACTTAACCTCTGAGGGTGAGCATGATACTTCCCAGGAAATGGCACTTGTGCAATACACAGGCATCCCCTAGAAACTCTGACATAACGTTATCGGACAGGAAACACCCTGCTAGGCATCCCTGTTGCAGTTAAATACTGTAACTTCTCCTGATTTAAATAGCTATTTGAATCACCAGGGCTTGTGCGGACAGGGCCCAGGTCTGCTCGCAGGGCCAACTCTGGATTAAAAAGCACCATCAGGCCTTTGTTCTTTTCCTGCTGATCAGGAGCAATCCAGAGTGTTTCTTTATCTTCACATAAATGAGCCACAGTGGGGATCAGAAAGTGAATTTCCTCGTGGGTTTTTTCTTTTCTTTTCTTTTTTTTTCTTTTCTTTTCTTCTCAACATTGCTCAGGCAACGTAAAAGTGCAGAGAGAAAAGAGATGGAGAGATTCTGGCTGTGCCTTCTCGCCTCGTTTTATTGAAGTACTTCTCTTCTGTAGCTTATTTTCCTGCAGCACTATGCTCTGCCATGCCTCACAGGTAGCATCCAACCGAGGGGAGTTGCTGACCCTGCCTATCAAAGCAAAAAGAGTCCTAATAACATGATCAAGTGGCTTAACCTTCCTTTCCAGGCAGTTTTCTACTTTAGAAGTCTGGAGAAGATCTTGAGGGAGGTGGAAGATCTCTCTGCAGGGGAGACTGGCCCTGCTGCTGCTCTTGCTGCCCCTGATATGTGGATAGAGGCCTTTGGTCTCCAGGCCTGAAACTGTGGCATCCTAATCAAAGGGAACATGTTCAGGAAAGAAAGTAATGCCCAGATAGCAGGTTTCCTGGCTATAGCTACATGTCAGAGTGTAGGTCTTGAAAAGAAGGGCTTGTCTACACTACCTGCCGAATCAGCAGGCAGCGATTGATCCAGCGGGGGCCCATTTATCACATCTAGTATAGACGCGATAAATCGACTGCTGAGCACTCTCCCGTCGACTTCGGTACTCCACCAGAATGAGAAGCGCAAGTGGAGTTGACGGGAGAGCGTCAGCTGTCGAATTACCACAGTGAAGACACCGCGGTAAGTTGATCTAAGTATGTCGACTTCAGCCACGCTATTCACATAGCTGAAGTAGCGTCTCTTAGATCGACCTCACCCGATAGCGTAGACAAGCCCGAAGACTCATGATTTGACATTTTCATGGAGATAATATGACACAGTGGGGATTTTTGTGGCAATACACCATACAAATGTATGGCGGGGGACAGATGGGAGTAAGGACTGTGGGACTGAACCCCTATTTGGAGTCTGGGTTTCAGAGGTGTGGGCACATGCCTTCCTTTTGACTTCAGCAACGGTTGTGGGTGCTTGAAATCTGACCCTTGGTGTGTGCTTCTTACTTCAAATTCAAGTAATGCTGTCCCACTCGCTTCTAATAAACCTATTAGATTATGATGTTCTGCGTTAATGGTGAGGAAGTCATAAGGCAAAGCCAAGAACTGCTGCGTTGAAGAAAAAAAAATGAAGAAAACAGCTTTATAATGAGCTCTCCCCCCTTCATTACACCAACCTCAGCCCCTAAGAAGTTGTGTCACTGTCAGAATAAGTCTAATCCAGCATGAAAACAATGAAGAACTTTGCTCCCTCCACGCCGTGTGAGGCCACGATAAAAGTGAGCCCAGTGCTTTAAAAAATGCCACACATTGACAACTACATTGACATTACACAGATTCACGGTAAGGTTTTGATCTCATTTAAGTCAACGTGTTAGACAAATCCAGTCGAGGCCTGAATTATTTAAATAGGTTAAAATCAAATTGCAGTCCAAGTTCTGATTAAAGAGGGGCACAGACCAAAGTAACCTGGGCCTGAACACGTTGGACTTGAGGAATATTCAGAACTAGATCCAAACTTTGGGCTTGTGGCCTCTTCTGTGTTTCTTGTCTGCTACAGGATTTTAGATCTTAAGTTCCATCCATAGGAAGTGTTTGCAAAAGAAATGGGTGTCTTTGAATTTTTTTTTACCTAAAGTGTCTGGAGTAAATTAATTGAATTACTAAGAGAGGAACTGGGAGGAGGTTTCCTTCCTGGAATCAAAGCTGGCAATCTTTCTAAGTTATTTAATGGTCTTAGTTTCTGAAAACATATTGAAGGAAATATCTTAACAATGAGATAGCCACTTCGCCAAATACTAATTTGGTATTGTGCTGGATTTGCTGCAGCCATACATTCTGACTTCTTATTCTCCCCTGTCATTTTTACTTGTTTGTTTGTTTTATTTTGTCCTGGTGGTGAACGTGGACTGATTAGCATCACTTAGGACACATTGTACTTTCAGGTGTACATTTGTACTAATACAGAACGTACCATCCTGGAGACAAATGTCTCCAATTCTCCACCCACTTGCAGAACTGAAAATCTGGCCACTTATTTATTAGTCAGTGCCCAAACATAGATTTAGGTGCTTAACTATAGGCAAGCAGTTTGAAAATGTTAGCGTAAATATCATGGTGTCCATTTCCTCTCTGTACCATGGAGATGTTGAATGACTTTGAAGAGGAGACATGATGATTGTTTAGCTGATTGTGCAGCTCTTGGAAGAGTTGTTATATTTCATCTCTTTATGCAATTTCATTGATCCAAGAGTTTTTTTTTAATTTATGCTTATTAGCTTTTTTCCCCTCCTCATTGCTAATAGAGAATAGAAGGTTCTCCTGATGCCACTTAACAGAGTCATCGGAAACATCAACTGCTGGGAGACAAAAACAAGATGCGAGATGATGTGCCTGTTTCAAAAGCTCTATGGCACTTATTTATGAACCTGCCTGGCTCCTCTCTTCAATGTTCATTTCCTCAGGGTGAACAACAGGGACATTCCTAAAGCATGTAATTTTAAAAAATTACGAATAAAGGATTCAAATGGGAAAGTGCCTATGGAAACCGATGACCAATATCCCCCACATGGTTCATTTCTCTCACTAAAAGAGTTTTGTTTCTCTATCCTCCATTTCATCCTGCTCTGGGGAGGTGGGAGCATAGAGTAAGAGTACATTCTGGGCTTTTTAAAAACTTAATAACTGTACAGAGTTTCAGAACTTTACCAAGTGCCTACATTATTAGAAATACAAATATTCCTTGTTCTTTGTTAAATCACTTCTTGTATCTAAAAGGTTCACTGCTCATTGAGCTGGTTGGCATATTGGTTCTTTCTCAAAAGAATGACTGCACATCACAGTCCAGATTAGACAAAATATAGATCACAGATGTTGGGTCCCGGGTCAACAGATTTGGGCCTGCAGCTAAACCCTTTTCCAAATCCTATCCCCAAACTTCATTAAAGTTCAGAAGCTTATTTGGGTCCAGATTGTAACCTCATACCTGTCCCTACTTTATCTCTACAATATGCCAAACCAACACCTTGCTTCCGTGCTTTTGAAGATCAGCACCACATCCAGATTCCATCGTGGTGGCTGTTCCCTGTTTCAATAACAGGCTCTAAGAAAGCTGTGGATCCAAACACTCCAGTACTTTGGAGAAGTTTGGATCCAGATCAGAACTTTGCAGTTCATACTAATCTCAGGTTTATTGATGCAAAGAAAATCCAAACAAACAAAAACCCCAAACAGAGATTTTTTTTTTCAGACTGTAAAGTGGGTCCCGATCCTGCAATCTGTTCCCATGTATCACTGCAGATTCAATTGCAGGATCAGGGACATAGATAAGAAGGCTCTTATTTTAAATGACAAATAGCATTTAAAATAATTAAACCAACAAGGATCTAAGTCATTCTTACAGAGAGATGACATATGGACTCATATATATATTTACTGCTTTAAGCTCTATATCAAAGGCTCTGGAACAGAAAAGATATGTATCTCCTTTAAAAGCAAAGGATTTCTTCCCTCCTTCCCCCCACAGCTTAAACTGTTCAGTTTCTTACCGACTAGTATCTTTTTAATTTATTTTTCCCTAGGAAAAGGTTGCTTGTATCATAAAACATTTAAACCTTTCACAGACAACACGGGGTTTGTAGCACATCTCTGTTGGCAAATATACATTCGAGCATCCCATCAACCCTCCCACCCACCCCCAATAAAATGTTATTACAGTGAATTTGGAATTTGGAAAAGGTATTTTAATAAAGAAATCTTTGAACTTAACTTTGCATCCTTGGATGTTTTTCTTATCAGTGTAACCCTTCTGCCCGTCAGAGTTGGCAGCAACAAGGGCCGGGTTCAATATCTAGGGGATCCATTCCAATAACACAGTGCAAACCGGCTCGAGCCCCCACCCAGTGACCTGGGACAAATATATACCACCCCCGCTGGGCGCCTCCAAGAGGCAATACTTCCCTTCTCGCAAGCACATAGTCTAAGTGTAGCAAAAGCCTTTTAATAACAGAGAGAAACAATGTGGCATTATGTTGGGGAAACACCACCAACAGGATTCATAACACAACCCATGAGCAACAAAAAACCCACCCCAGGCAAATTGGGGCATGCCCTTTTCCCTTTGGTTCTTGAGTCCAGCAACCCCAAATCACCCAAAGTCCCAAAAGTCCAATGCCCCAAAAGTCTCTGTCCCTGGTCAGGGCAGCCCCAGAGTTCGAAAGTTTATCTGCGGAGCTTTACCTCCCAACCTGGGTGGAAATGGGACGGGGGTAAGAGGCACCTTACGTGATCTGAAGCTGACCGCCCCACAAACTCCTTCGCTCAGCTGCACTCCGCTCCGCCAGCCGCCCCACAAACTCCTTCGCTCCGCTCCGCCAGCCGCCCCACGAACTCCTTCGCTCAGCTCCACGGCCCACAAGCAGCTCCTGCCATCCACACACTGCTCCGCGTCGAACTGCTCCACAATATATCTTCAGGCTCCCCCACTACTTAACACAACACTCAGTGATTTCAGCTCTTAGGTGAATTCAGCTTGTAGTAGGGGAGCCCCAGTGCTGGTGCACTGTCAGCCCAAAGTGAGCTCAGAAGCCTATAACTAGACTTCTAATGAAATCAAAATTAGCTCTGATATTCTACAGTGGAGAGAGGAGGAAGTGCAATTAGCATGTAAGGCCCTCACCAAGGGGCCCATGCCACCAAGTATTAATACTTGTCCCCAGCCTCTCTCCCTTCACACAGTTTTGGAACCCATGACCCTTGCCTAGCGAGTGCTACTTAGTTGATGGTGAATCCCTCCATCATAACAAAAGGCCACGTACAGTTCCAAGCACAGTTCCCATAATCAGGGTAATAACAATTTATTCTTCCTGCCCCAATAACAGAGACACTGGGGATCCCACAGCAGCCAAAGTGACCATTTGGGCAGCTATGGTCTCATTCTAGGTGTGGTGGGTGTGCCTATGCAAATGAGATCGGCCCCTGAAGTTCTTTTCCACAACTTGCCACACCTCACCACCAGATGTCAGGGTGGAGCTCATCCTGACACTGCTTACATCAGCAAATCACAAATGGCTGGGGGGCAGGTTATTATTAATGTTAAACTGTGTGGGGATATCAGTGAACACACAGCATGTCACAGAACATGTGGGAAAGCATGGACGCTGCACAAACTCTGTCAGCTTGAAATCGCTGAACCTGTTGTAATGATCCAAAGTAATCTCAAACGAGTGTGTCCACACCAGCCATGCTGAATCACTTTAAGAACCATTGCAGGCTTGCCCTACATTCACATTAGTGCTGCTCAAAACCACTTCAGTTAAAAGGCCCTCCAGAAATCTACCCTACAGTCCCAGGCATGGCTCCCAGAACCAGTGGATTCTTGGAGGTTTCAAAAGGCTCCCAGTGCTCCATGGAGCTGCAATGAGCCTTTGGGGCTGTTTCAGCATCTCTATGCCCACACTGGTGCGAAGGATTTCAGACTGAAACGGTTTAGGCTGAACCAGTTCTTTATCCCGCTGAAAGATTCATCTACTCCATCTGATTCTTGGAACGTGTCACAGGGTTGCTGGGTCCTTTAAATAAAACAGGTCCAGCCCTTCCCCTCTCCCTCCATGCCAGTATGGGTGCTCCCAGTTGGCCAGTTAGAGGGCAAGGCAGCACCTGGAGCTATAAAGGATCAGGAAGATTAGAGTTGTAGGAAGTTCCTGAAGGAGGCAGCAGCAACGGGAGGAGATAGAGGAGGAGGCATGGCATGGCATGGCATGGCATGGCATGGCATTTGCTGGCTGATCTTCTTGAGCTGGAGCCAAGGGCTAAAGGGAGTTGAAAGCAAGGATAGTGGGATTGTTTACCTGCTGACATCTACATGCTGGAGAGGGCTGAGGGCTAGGTCTCCCTGTGGACTTGTCTGAGATGACTGGTTAATAGCATGGGGAGAGTGATGGCTGTTTCCCTGCTGAGGATGAATTCCCAGGAGAGTGTTGGTGGTGGGGTGTTCCTGCTGGGAAGACTGGGGTTACACTCCAGCAGGGAGGGTTGGGGTGGCTGTCTGGCTGAAGAAGAGTCTGGGTGTGGTGGAAGATGCTGGAATGTGGTATGCGCTAGGCTGAATGATTATATGTTGTGGGATTTGAAAGCCTGCGTGCACTGGGGGTGATAAATAGACTATGTTCTGGGACTCTTGCTATGGCATATTTGCACTATGTCTTGTAATGCTACGCTTCCTGGGAACTGGTTTATTGAACCAAGAGAGCCTGTCCTGGAGCCCTTGGGGCCTGAGAGAGGAAGTGGGAGGGTAACTCTGGTTAGGGTGCCCAGAGGTAAGGAGGCGCTCAGGGATGAAGGGAAATCGTTCATGTGAACTGGTTTGAGCACTTTTGTGTGTGGAAGTAGAGTGTGTCACTGGCATGCTCGGGAATAGATCAGTAAACTTACCTGCTGCAGACAAAGCTAATGTACCTACCCACTAAACAAGGAACAGTCATACATGATGAGTTCCGCTTCCTGTTCCACAGAATGTGGCTTCAGATGCCAAGCAAGCCTCATTTATTAACCTGTTAAACTGAACACTTGGGAAAGATTCTTGTGTCTGTTGTTGAAACAGTGCCCATATTCAATTAAGACCCAAAACAATGAGCCATTACAAATCTGCTGGTTTAGTTCTTCATATTTCTAGCATCTCACCAAGTCTGGCTCAGCAAATGTAAAACCAAGTGTGCTGTAAGTATTCACCCTAAAAAGCAGGGGGGAAAGGCCCAGTTCATCCTCCCCACCCTCTAGCCCCAGTTCCATTTGAAGAGAGACTGGGGGATACCATTTTGCATAAGACAGAATGGAGATGTTGTTTCATGAGAGTCATTTACACAATAGTGTGAGAAGCAACAGGTTAAATCACTTCATAGAAGAGGTCCTGCAGGTGTAATTCCCAGTAGTGAGAGCTGGAGTTCCCAGGTCTGAGAGGGGAAACAGACCTTGTTGCCTCAGACACCAATTTTATACTATATGGCTTATTTTCATGCAAGCAGAGATGGTTGGCTTGACCCCTGAGACTCACTTGCAGAAAACATACTAGCAACAGCAGCCAGTTTAAACAAATTTAAGCCAGTTTGTAGGAGATGTGTCCAAAACCACTGGCCTTATTCTTAAAAAGGAAAGGAGTACTTGTGGCACCTTAGAGACTAACAAATTTATCTGAGCTCACAAAAGCTTATGCTCAAATAAATTTGTTAGTCTCTAAGGTACCACAAGTCCTCCTGTTCTTTTTTCGGATACAGACGAACACGGCTGCTACTCTGAAACCTGACGGTATTCTTGTGTCCCATAGAAATCTTTAGCCAATATGTTGAGAGAGAGCAGAGCTCAAGGATTGTTCTCCATGAACAAGGGGATTGTTCTCCATGAGGCTACACAGTGAAAGAGCAAGTAGAAAGGAAACCTGGATCCCCTTAATTTACAGCACATATGAGGCTGCTTGAATTGGTCATTGTTAAAGTGCAAGCATTGGTTCTACAAAATGTGGAAAAAGAGAGCACAAAGCCAGCCTCTTGTGTTAAGCTAGAGAAGTCAGAAGCCAAGAAGCCTCCATGGGAAAAGCAGCGGATGGGGAGAATGCTGCCAGGAGGAAATTAATAATAATTTCAAAAGACAATGCAGCAGCTTTCAGAAGTGTGATTCCTGGAATCTATCAGCACAGTGCAGACTGAGGGGCAGGAATTATCAGCCATGGCTACATGGCTGTTTCAGGCTGAGGCTTGAGCTTGCAACATTTACTCACTCATTATCCTTAGTCACTAGGGCCCAATAGAGCTTTGAAGGAATGAAATTCTAAAGGTAACTTTTTCTTCAGTTTGGGGATACTTCTAAACAGTCAGTGAAATCCAGCGTTGCCCTTCCCCCCACCACTCTTGTGTGAATTTAAGGGCTCAATTCATCATTGTGATATGGCCCTTGCTAGTAGAAAGCAGCTGCAGGGCAGGTGTGGGGGCACCGGGGGGAATTCCTCCAGCACAGGGAGCCCTGTGACTTCACAGGTGCAGGTGGCCTTCTGGGGCAGGGCATGAGCAAAGGTTGGAAGAGGACTCAGATGTGATCAAGAAGCTCTTATGTTCTGGCTATTCTGAATTCCTTCAAAGCTCTTTTGCTCCTTTGGAGCAGGAGCACAAATTAGGGCAGCCTCTGAAAGGTGATGGAGTGAGATCTCTGGAGACTGAAACCCTCTTGTTCCCCAGGACAGGTGCAGCAGCTTCCCCCCAGTGTACAATTTTCAAATGGATGTTTTATATATGTTGTGGGATTAGGTTTTCCTTATCAACAAAGATCCCATGGGTGTTCCTTTGAAAAACAAATGATGTGTGGAGCTCAGTGTTGCCAGCTCATGACTTTATCAGAAATCTCATATTAGATGCTTTCCCAACTAGAGCTCCAACTTCTGGAGTCAAGTGAGGAGGACAAGAAGACAATCACTTTCTTTTTTAAATGACAACTCAAAGTTTCTGGTTCTCAGTTTTACAGAAAACAGCCTGAAAACAGGACCCAGGTACATGCTAACAGCTCAGAAACCAGATGCCAAATAAAAGTTACTCAAAGCTTCTTTTTTAAAAAACATTCATGGTTGTGGGTTTTTGTTTTTGTTTTGTTTTGTTTTGGTTGGTTAGATATTTTGGCAGCCTGACTCCAGACTCTTGAATGCTTGGGGTTGGTATGGTTGAGATTTCTTAGGCTTCATGTTGCTAAATG